CCCTGATCCTGAGTTCCCCCTGGAATTCCCACTCTCCATTATTTTCCATGGACAATCCCTGATCCCGAGTTCCCCCTGGAATTCCCACTCTCCATTATTTTCCATGGACAATCCCTGATCCCAAATTCCCCCTGGAATTCCCACTCTCCTAAGGCTCTTTCCCAGTTTCCCATGGACAATCCCTGATCCTGAGTTCCCCCGGCATTCCCAGAATTCCCGGAATTCCCGTTTTCCCGTTGTTACCCCGGAGCAGGGCGGAGGACCAGAGCTGCACGGACATGTCCGGGATCTTGCTGGCCAGCTGCATGGCCGGCACCACCATGTTGTTGCTTTCCTGGGAAAAATCCACAAGGAAAAAAAAGGGGAAAAAAAAAAAAAAAAAAATTGGGATTTCTGGGAATTTTGTTCCGGATTGACCACAAAAAGACGGAAAATTCCCGGTGGGAAACGCGGGGATTTGTGATGTTCCGGGAAATTCTAAATTTTGGGATGGTTCAGAAGGATGGAAATTCCAATTTTGGATGGGTCAGCACAAAAACCACTCCCAAAATTCCATTATTGCCCCCAAAATCCCGATTTGCTCCGGGAGTTTCTCCGGGATTTTTTTTCCGGGATTTTGGCAGGATTTTTTTTTTCCAGGTTTTTTTCTGGGATTTATTCTGGGATTTTCAAGGGGTTTTCTCTGGGATTTTTGAAGGATTTTCTCCTGGGGTTTCTCCTGGAGTTTCTCTGGGATTTTCTCAGGGATTTTTGATGAGATTTCTGGGGGATTTTCTCCAGGGTTTTTCCGGAATTTTGGGGGCAGTTTTTCTGGGATTTTTGGGGGCTTTTCTCCAGGATTTTTTCTGGGATTTTCCCAGGATTTTGGGAGGACTTTTCCTGGGATTTGTGGGGGATTCCCCGGGATTTGGGAGGGATTCCCTGAGATCTGGGGGGGATTTCCCGGGATTTGGGGGGATTTCCCAGGATTTGTGGGGGGATTTTCTCTGGGATTTTTCTGTGATTTTCCCAGGATTTGGGAGGTATTCCCTGATATTTTGGGGGGGATTTTCCCAGGATTTGGGAGATTTTCCCAAGATTTGCAGGGCATTTCCTGGGATTTGGGGGTGGGGATTTCCCAGGATTTGTTGGGGATTCCCTGGGATTTGGGGGGATTTTCTCCAGGATCTGGGGGGGATTTCTCAGGATTCACTGGGGATTTCCTGAGATCTGGGGGGGATTTCC